CGACGGCACATAACAACAACAACAACAATCTCTAGCCTGATCCTCTGGGCTCCAAGGCTGGGCCTGGGCCCCCAGCTCCTCTAAACAGAGAAAAGGGAGGGGCAAAGTGGGGCAGTGGTAGAGCCAGATGACCTTGAGATTATCAGGAAAGCTATAAAGTGTACTTTGGTCAGCAGCAAGGGAGGGGACAGTTCTCCTTTCTGTATGCCTTCTCCCTCAACCCCCACCCAAGGCCTCCTTACCCTTTCCCTGCCTGGGGACTTTGAGCAATTGTAGAGATAAAGCCCTGCGGTAGGCCACTAGCCCAAACCCAGAGAGTGATCTTGCCAGGGGCAAACCCAAAGACAACCTATGATGAAATTTCCCTTGTCTCCTTTCTTCCTCCTCCAACATAGGCAACTTAGTTTTATCTTTCTTTGAGTTCTTGTTGTTCACAACTAAGGGGATTCACAACCCCATGTTAAGAAAAAAACCTCCAGGAGTTCCACTTCCACACTGCTTTATCCCCCTGCGGTTCACGTGTTCAATGCCAATTTCACCTACTCAGTCCCACCTAAACCAAAACCAAAACCAAACTCACTGCCAGTAGAGTTGTATCTGACTCACAGCGACCCCTCCTTGGGTTTCTGAGGCGGTATCACTACAGAAGTGTATTACCCAATCTTCCTTCTGAGGAGTGGCTGGTGAGTTTGAACCGCCAGCCTGCTGGTTAGCACTCAAATGCCTTAGGCAATTTCCCACCAGAGCTCCCCAGTCCAGTCCTAGGACAGTGAAATCTGAGAAAGATTTCCTGTGAATATTCCATTCATACCTTATGCCCATAAGGTGTAGGTTAACACTCAGATTTGGGGGTCGGGGCTAAGCTTCCTCAGAAAAACTCCACTCCCATCCCAACCCTAAGTCAAACAAAAACCAAACTCACTGCCCTCGTGTCGGATTCGACTCATAGAGACCCCTCCTTGGGTTTCCGAAGCGGTGTCACTAGGGAAGTAAATTGCCCAATCTTCCTTCCAAGGAGTGGCTGCTGGGTTTGAACTGTCACCTTTCTGGTTGGCAGTGAACGGTAAGTTGTTGTTGTTGTTGTTGTTGTTTGCCGTCGAGTCGGCCCCGACTCATAGCGACCCCTCCTTGGGTTTCCGAGGCAGTATCACTACGGAAGTAGGATTGCCCAACCTTCCTTCCGAGGAGTGGCTGGTGGGTTTGAACCGCCAGCCGTCTGGTTAGCAGGCAAGTGTCTTAGCCACTATGCTACCAGAGCTCCCGAACGGTAAGTAGTGGGTCAAAAATTAAAATGACCAAAACCTCTAGCTCTTGCTCATCTGACTGGCCGACAAATTTTGCCTCATTTGGTGGGTGAGGTCTAGGAACAGAGGAAGCGATCCAGTAGTCATCCTAACCATTAAAGTCAGAAAGCTTTCTTTCCTTCTCCCTGATTGCCTAGCCCTTGATCCTGGCAGGCAGGATGATGGCGGAGAAAGATGCCGGGGGTTAGAGATTTGGTACACTGGAGGAGGGGCTTTCAGGCGAAAACGTCCCCTTAAAAAACAAGGCTTAAAGGAGCGAAGGTTAGAGGTCTCCCCTACTAGGATCCATTCCTCCTGCCCCAAAGCCCGCTGCAAATGGCCCCTGAGAGGCGGGCAAATAAGAGCAGCACCCCAGCCTGGGCCCGACCACTCCCCATCCCCCACCTAGAGCCCGATCCTCGCGGAAACGACGCCTCCTACAGCGTCCCGGCTCCCCGCCAGGCCTTACCTCGATGTTGCCGACGGTGCGGGCACAACCCACCACCTTCAGTCCCTGCTGGACTAGGGCCCGAGCCACTGCCGCGCCGATGCCCCCCGAAGCGCCCGTCACCAGCGCCAGCCGGTCGCGCCACCGCGCCATGCCGGCCCTGGCCATGGTACCAGGCCGCCCGCCCACCTCACTCTGCGAAACAGGCACTTGGATTGGGGTGCTCCGCCCTGAGTCAGAGAAGCCAGACCGCTTTCTTGTCACCGCCGCGCCAGCCACCGCCGGTCTGCCGGAGTCCAAGGGACACCTCGACCCCCCCCCATCCCGGCCAGTCCCCAGACAAGGCTCCACCCCCCTGTCGTCCGCGCCCAGCGACATCCCACGAAGAACCGCCCCGGCCGCCCCGCCCCACCCCTTCCGGTCCCGCCCCCTCGCGCCCAGCAAGTTCGCCCCTCCCTCGACGGGGTTGGAGGGGAACCGTACCTCCCACAGTGCCAGGTAGAACCGGGCCTGCGAGCGTGCTGTATTTCTTCCCCCTTGATCTCTTCTCATTGGGGTAGGGAAATCGAGGTTTAGCGGGGGCTTGCTCCAGCCCCAAAGATCCATATATTCTTACCTCTTGCTCAGTCTCCCTTTCTCCTGATCCCTAAAACCAGGATGAGAAATTAAGGGCACTTAAGGTGACTTCAACGCCCTCCCCAACCATCTTGTGGCTATTAATGGAAGACCGTAGCCCAGAAAAGGTAGTGATTCTGCCATCGACACTGGGTGATCTCGGGATGGGCTCTTCGCATCCTACCTGACCAGTCACCCTGCTTTACTACCCAAGGAGAGTAGAATGAGTAAAAATGGCAATACTCCAGGTACATTTGTATTGGGAAATTCTATCCTTAAGTGGCCCAACTGTCTTCAACTATATATGCCACTTCCTGCCCTCATCCCTACCCCATTAGAGAAAACATACCACCACTTATACTAAAGATTAAAGCAATAGCTAACGTTTATCAGGCACTAATTTTACCTAATTTTAATCTGCACAACCACCCGTTCAGATAATTCTTTATTTTAAAGATGAGTATAATGAAACAAAGTGGTGAAGTCTGGTTTGGACTACAGGAAGTTTAATCTTAGTTCAAGGGATGCGCTCTTACACTGCCTTAAAAAAAAAAAAATTAGCCACAGATTGAATACCTCAGAAAAGGAGAGAGAGAATGGTTGAACAATTTGAAGAATATAATCTATGTCACTGAATTGTACATGCAGAAATGGCTGAACTGGTGTCTATTTTGCTATGTATATTCTCAGCAACAATTAAAAAAAAAAAAAATAGCCCTTTTGTCTCTTCTTGGGTTGCTAGCTTTGTTCAGACTGGAGTTCACTTTGCTCTTTGACCACTCAGGATGTTTCATGAAAGTGCTGAAAACTGCCTTTCTTTTGCATACTTAATATATCCATCCTTCCAAAGAAAAGCCATCTCTGAATAACCACTTGAACCCCACCCCAGCAAGCAATGGAAGAAGTTATGAATATGGTTGATTTATTTATTCAGAATAAAAGCACTCATTTGCCTATCATGTCTTAGACCTCGAGGGCAAAGATTAATTAAAACAAAACTAACCCTTGCCTTTAGGGGTTTCAAGAAAACACTTGGCTGTAATGGGTGGCAGAGTGGGGAATGGCCTCAGAGCCAAGGAGTATGGGAGACTGTTAATCATTTTTTATGAATTCCAGGATGAGTGAAAACAAACAAGGATCAGAGATCAACCATAACTCATCTTACCTCTGCCCCAATCCCTACACACTTAAATCCTAAAAGACACCTCAGGAGGTGGATCAAAGAAACTCCACCAAATACAAAATTTTTCTCATTAAGCTTCTGCAGTTCCAAATTTGATATCTGATTAAGTGGCTTAAAGCCCATAAAATTCACTCCACCCCCACTGAGCAACAGTATTGACTGTCCCACTGAATGTCTGCTGCTCACCAAGTATTATCAACATGCAGACACACAAAGCTCCAAATACATGTGTTTATTGAGCTATTGACTGAGCCTTTTAAATGCCAGACAAATGCTACTCTTTGGGGAATCTCCTTCAGAACTCACACAGCCAGCCTGTGACTGCAGTGAACTGTAATGCCATACTGACTTTATTGATGGAAACCAGATAAGGCTGAACATGCAAGCACTTATGTAGACCAGTGTGGTTCCTTCTCAGCACAGCCTTCTGATTCCACTTTTAAATGCTGTATCAGGCAACTTTGGTTGAAAATCTGCCAAGTTTTGTTTTCATTTTTCTGGGCTGAAATGAACCTCTAAATTTAAGGTTCTCTGTGTTATCAGGAAGAGCCCTGGTGGCACAGTGGTTAAGCGCTTGGCTCATAACTGAAAGGTCAAGCAGTTCAAACTCAACTGCTCCATGGGACAAAGATGTGGCAGTCTGCTTTTGTAAAGATATATAGGCTTGGAAACCCTATGGAGCAGTTCTACTCTGTCCTATAGGGTCACTGAGTTGGAATCGACTTGAAGGCAATGGGTTTTGTGTTATCAGGGAATTTTTGGTAACAGCAATTAAAGTCTCTTGAGAAATTAAAATGTTAGCCAGTATTTAAAGGTACTGCAGCAAATTTATTTCTTTCAAAACAAATGACTGGAGACTACTTTCCCAAGTCATCAGTTGTGATCAAGGGAAGAATTTTGTCTTCTGTTCAATCTGAACTTCTATCCTCATTTTTCTTCATTCTAAGATCAACACTAGCCAAGGAACAAATCCACAAGTGGCAAATATTAAAATACTGCCACACATTAAGTAGAAACATGTACACCAAATTTTACTATGCATATTAATAAATATTCTTTATTTTAAATTTTGCACATTGCGCTTTAACATTACATCCAAACATTTCGCAAGTGGATGTCTACTTTGTAAAACCATATATTCAGCTCATTGTCATCTCTGTACAGAAGTATAAGTACAACATTACTTTTTGCCACTAGGTTGCTTTAGTAAGTTTCACAGGAAGAGAAACATTTAATGAAAAGAGATGGCTTAAATCATATGGCAGGCCTGTGAGCCACGCAACTAAAGACACAAGCCTGAAGAAAGAACAAACTAATGAGGGTACCTCCACCATCGCCCAAAACAAGAAGGAATCACATTGATTTAAGATAAAATTTTGCCGTAAGTCACTAAATTAAGAGTTTTTTTTGAAAGAGAAGGCGCAGTAGTCATCTTGAGTGTTTCATTGAAAGACAGAGCTATTTTATTTATTTAATTTGCTCCAGCCGTTGTCAACCAGCCACTACAAATGGGCCTCTTGTGATCATTTAAGCGGCAGTATTTATTAAATTTCTCCTTCAGATGCTGTCGATATTGTTCTCTATTGCTGTAGAAAGACTGGTTATTAGCCATAAATGACTGTATTTCATCTTGTGAGATAAAGATTTCCTCATCTGAAGTACATTCAGACTCATCCTGCAAATTAAAGCAACAGTTAAAACTGTGACTTAAATTAAGCCTAACTTTTTAGTTTCAATTCAGTCATATAAAGCCTTTAATGAGGATTTTTAGAGCATAAGGAGCATGCCATTCTGCAAAGGATTTGATTCCATTAGGACCTAACAGCTATGAATAAGATAGCACCCTTCTCCATACTCATCCCCAGCATCAAACACACTATGTATGCATTGGGTCATATGGAATCAGATATAATTGATCCAAAGTCTCAGGAATTGATGTAAATTGTAAAGATTTCCCAAGTTCAGTTATGCTTTTATCCCACACAACACCTAAATGAAGTAACCTAGAAAGTAGGTGCCATCTGGTTCAGGTTCTATATTCCTTCCTAGTCTAGAAGAGCAACTATATCATCAATTGTTACTCAGAAAGGCAGGGTTTGTTTATAATAACCCTCCTTTAAGGAGGCAGACCCAGAACACAGTTGTTATATGGCGTCGAGTCAGACCTGACTCATAGGGACCCCTCCTTGGGTTTCCAAGGCAGTATCACTACGGAAGTAGATTGCCCCATCTGCTTTCTGAGGAGTGGCTGGTGGGTTTGAACCACCAGCCTTCTGGTTAGCAGTCAAGTGCCTTAGGCACTATGCTACCAGAGCTCCTCCAGAACACAGTACCACCTCTTATTCCCCTCTCCCAACTAGTCTCTGCCACCTCTGATACAAAGGATAAGGAAATGTGCTTCAAAGTAGTTGCATAAAGCAAGAGTGGAAGAAGAGAAATGCAGTTATCAAACAACAACAAAATACTGTCCTGAATTTCTTAAAAGCTTCCCCTTACCTCCCATCAATACTGCTCCTCCCACCTTTATGTACTGAGCAACCAGCAGTCCGTAAGAAGACATTTTGGATTACTTACAAGGAGTTCAACTAAGCTCTTGGCACCTTTTCCGGAATCGGGACCAAACGACATTTCTGTAGGTTCTGCAAACTGTGGTACAGTTTTCCTATGCTCAAACCAAGGCAGTGGCTGTCCGCCCTTTTCAGAGCTGCAACAGCTTTCAGGATGTGCATCTTTGGTCTTGTCACGGTGAAACACTGTGTGCACGGTGTTTCCTGAGGTCTCTCGATTACCTGGATCTGTAATACAGCTTCCAAGCTTTTGGATCTGAAACCACAGCAAAGAATTTCCAAGGTAAAAACGCAGGGAGTAATAGCAAATATTCTTTAAGGAGAAAAAAAATATCTGGAGAAAAAAATATCCTGTAAGATAGTTAAACCTTTAGAAGGAACAATGAACAGGAGCAGCAGTAGCATTTACTGGGCACTTACTTTTACCAGACATTGTATGAAAACTTCAATATAACCTCACTTCATTTTTGCAGAATCTAATCTGATAGAGACTATCTTCCCAGCATTACACATGAGAAAACTAAAAGTAAGCAAACTATTCAAGACTATACAGCTACTAAATAAAACAGTATTATGACAACAATGAATTGGATTTATTACTCTGATGATCTGCTGGACACAAGACACACATAAAAATCACATGAGCAAACTGTATAAAGTCATTCTTAAAAAAAAAAAAAAAAGAAAAACAAAAACAAAAATCCTAGCAGCTAAACTATATATGCATGCAGTTCCAAGGAAAATAGGCTGCTCTCGCAACAGTAAAGGTTTAAGAAATGCAACTTACGACACTTACATGTTCATCACATTTCAACATCTTGCTTTTCTTTTTCTTCTTTTTATTTTTTCCTTTTGTGTTGTTCTCTTCAGAATTTGCCCAACATTCAACGCAACTATCACCGTCATCCTCTTTGTCTTCACAGTGATGAACACAGGAGTCATCCACTGTAGAATGCAATAACCCCTCTTGTTTATTTATGCTTTAAAATCAATCATGCAGTCGTAATAATTGGGAAGCTCAACCTGAACCTACCATGTTCATCATGATTACAAATGCCTTCAGTGCAGGCTACGTCTGAACCTTCCCGTGAACCTGTTTCACTCCCTTCCATGCTAGATGAATATCCACAATCACTGCCATTACAGTGTGGAGATAAGCCTGAGAATAAATCAGGTGAAAGTTACAAATGGCTGCAATTAACACACCAGTAAAAATACTGAGACAAAAAGGGAGCCAACTAGGAATCACAATTAAATAATGAATATACTATTAGGGATATTCTAAGTTTATTGTTTTAGTCAAGTAACAATTCAAAGATCATAAAGATAAAGAAAATACTGGATCTGACTAAATTACAGGATATTCTTAAGGCTATAAAGCAGTTCTTAATTCTACAATCTCTAAAAGTTTTTACAGTTTAAAACTAAGAATAGACTTTAAGAGTTAATTTTAAAAATAAACTGCATTTACTTACCTTTCTTTATTTTAGGGGACCCCAAAAGATTGCCACTGCTAGGACAGGTGCATGATGTGTTCTCATTGGTAACAATTACTTCTACGCAACTACTGCCGTCTTCAGTGCTGCCACAAGCTTTGCAGCTATTTTCTATGAAGTCTGTTTCCTTTAAGAATCAACATTAAGAGATAGTATAAAAAGCTGTGCCCACATAGTGGCTACATTCTTATTTTCTTAGCATTAACCAATTAGGTAGGAGTTATGAAGTTAATAACCAAAAAACTATTCTCACACAACACTACCGATTCGCTTCAAGACTGCAAACCAACTAAAATACAGTTAAGAGTTAATGATATCAGTTAAATCTAGGATACCAAACACATTGCCATTGAATCAATTCCAACTCACATAGACCTTATAGGACAGGGTAGAATTGCCCTACAGGGTTCCAAGGCTATATTCTTTATGGAGGCAGATGACTACACCTTTCTCCCACAAAGCGGGTGGTGGGTTCAAACCACCGACTTTTTAGTTAATGGCCGAGCACTGTAACCACTGCACCATCAGGGCTCCTAAATTTAGGATAAGAGTTTCCAAAGTGTAGGCTACTGACACCTGCAGGTACCCTGACCCTGGAAGTTTGTAAGGTCAAAACTATTTTCATAATAATACTAAGATGTTATTTCCTTATTCAATGTGTTGACATTTAGAGTGGTGGAGAAAGTTGCTGGTGCCTTCACACAAATGAAGGTAGTGTTGCCAAACTCTACTAACAGTCATTATGTTCTTCACTTGTCAAACACTCTCAGGGAGAAAAAAGCGTATTTCATTAATGAATTCTCTTGATAAAATGATAAAAAGTATTAATTTCATTAAATATCAACCTTTGAGTAGACATCTTTTTAATATTCTGTGTGACTTTTCTGATTAGATCTGTAGTGATTTTAACATATGTAGTTATTTCATATTGTATAAGGAGACATCAATATATCCAGAAGATCTGTACTATGGGTAAACCATTATCTTTCAAATGACCAATTTATGATGTTTCAAAATCACGCAATAACTCAAAGATCCATTCAAAGAATAAGACCAATGGAATTTAACTTAACATGTTGAGTATAGAAAGACCATTGATTCCACACTGTACCTAATCTTCAAGAAGCTACCAGTTATCAAGTTGTAGTATCAAAGAACATCCACTGCTATCTGAAAAGGCTTATGTTAAAATACTTCTCCCTTGTCTTAAACCAAACCAAACCAACTTACTGTTGTCTATTCATTTTTGACTCATAGCGACCATGTAAGACAGAGTAGAACTACCCCATAAAAAACAAACAAACAAAAAAGGAGCTCTGGTGGCGTAGTGCCGAAGGCATTTGACTGCTAACCAGAAGGCTGCCAGTTTAAAACCACCAGCCACTCCTCAAAAGGAAGACTGGGCAATCTATATCCCATAGGGTTTCCAAAACGATAAAGCTTTATGGAAGTAGACTGCCACATCCTGCTCCCATAGAGCAGATTTTTTGTTAGCAGCTGAGCATTTTAACCTCTGCACCACCAGGGCTCATTTCCCTTGTCCTACCATATATTAATCTCAGAGACCAGATCTTCTTCATATACTTCAACATTTGAAAACGGATTGAATGCAAAAGCAGATTATAAGAACACAGCTGATTCCTCTTAAAGGACAAATGTTAAAGAGACTAGAAAAAAACAAAATAATGCCTCTTTCTACTTTCATTTCTTTTTTTGTTTTGGAAAACAGTTATTTTCTTTTTTTTTTTACTTAGGATTTGGGTGAAGATTTACAGAGTAAATTCACTTTTCATACAGCAGTTCACATATACTTTGTCTCATGTCATTGACCAAAATTTACAATGCAGCAGCTCCCCTCCCACTTCCTCCCCATAGTTACCTCCTCCCAGTGTCCATCCCTTCATACTCTTCTGCACCCTGAGCTATCTCCCTGTGCATAAGCAGCCCTTCCTTCTCCCATGATTGTTCTCTCCAGGGCGTGTGTCTACTTGGGGTAAATGTTTAACTCACATGCTGTTTTGGAAAACAGTTATTTTCAAAAGTATTATTCATGTTAATGGACTTATTATCATGCTTAAATGAATTAATAATAACTGAAATATTTGTTTTTATTTCTAATATAGTAAATATTAATTAATACAACACACATAAATAAAAGCTCATTAAACCAAATTAAACCAAACTCACTGCCGTCGAATCAATTTAACTCATAGTAACCCCTCCTTGGGTTTCCAAGATAGTATCTCCACGGAAGTACTGCCCAATCTTCCTTCCAAGGAGTGGCTGGTGGGTTTGAACCACCAGCCTTTTGGTTAACAATCAAATGCCTTAGGTACTATGTTATCAGAGCTCCTAAAAGATCATTGGGCACCTGTGGTGTAGTAAATTACCTGGTATGGCTTTTTAGTCTTTGTAAACTCTGCAGTGGAATTTGCCCTGAGCAACTGAGTAGCTCCTGATCATTAAAGTTATCCACCTGGGCTTTTTCTGTTCAGAGTGGCACAAAGCAATATTCTAGGAAGTTCGCTCTCTCTCAGGTGTTCAGAATTCTGATGTTATGATTGGTTAGTTTGGCCACTCTGCCAGGCTCAAAAGAAGGCCTCCTAGAGGCAGAAAACTCTGACCGCTGGCTGAGAAGGACAGACTGCTGAGAGAAATGCTCCCGAGAGGAAACACACTCCTGAGAGAAATGTGCTCCTGAGAGACATGTGCTGCTGGGAAAGAGATACAAGAGACACACACTGCTGAGAGAGACACCAAGAGATACACACTACTGAGAGAGAGAGACTGTGAGAGACTGTTGGCTAAAAGACAGCGGGCTGAGAGAGACTGAGCGTTGTTCCTGAACTTGAATTGTAGCCTGGTGCTTCCCTATTAAACCCCATAACCTATGAGTGCTGTGTGGCCACTGCAGCGAATTATCAAACTCAGAAGAAAGGTGGTGGGTGCTGCAGGAGAACAGTTGGTATCACGGTTGAGGAAAGGGCTAGAGGGAGGTAGCATGTCTGGCCTCGCAGGAATAGGCCTTGTGCTATTGATGGTGATTCTGTCTTCCTCTTCCTCCTCAGAGGAGGTCATCAGGAGATGCGGCCTCCCTGCCTCTTTGGCAGCACCTTAATTTTTAACAATGTAAAGCGGTCCTGGGACAGAAATGTTAAGAACTGCTGCTCCAGATCATGTACAGAGAGAGATAACTTTCCACATTTTGACTTTGATCCTAAGAGCACACAAATGTCAAGAGGTAAATATGCAACAATGTTTTAATAAAACAAATATACGACATTAAAAATTATGGCTTACATAGATTACAGTAGGAAAAAGCCAACATTCAAACTGCAGGAGGTCACATCTGGTAAAGCATAGTGGAAAATACCCAAATCTAGCAAAACAGTTATCCTTCTATCTAAAGCAATACTATACATTTATAAGCTGGTATTAAAGAACACTACCTTCTCTTGGCTTACTTCCTTTTCATCTGCTGTTTGTAAAGGAGCAGGAATATCACACACACACTTATTTTTTCGTCTGTTCTTCCGTTTTTGGCGTTTCTTTTCTTGCTTGAGTTCTCTTACTCGTTCCTCCTCTGAAAATTCTTCACAAAGTTGTTCCAATCGACTTATACCCTGTACTTTTTCCACAGTCATCTATTATAAAAACAAAGCTGAGAATGAGTATTGGTCTAAACATTTCCTTTATTTTCCATGGAAATTTTCATTTGTCAGGTTTAAATAGTATCACCCACAGAGAACATGGTATCTCATGCTATAATTTGCAACATAGTTCTCACAAAGAATTTTATGTTTCAATATCTTAAATAATTCTTCTCTTAAATTCTACTCAGGAAGGCAATATACAACTAATCCCAATAGGGAAAGATATACATACTCTTTATTATAAACACACAATATTCCAGTTTCAAATTTCAACACAGCAAACATTCCACTCATACAATGAGAAGGCTATTACAAGATCAGAGTAGAAGATCTTTACACGAATGTACAAGAGAAAAGGAGTAAGAATAAAGAACTATGTTCACCAAGAACCACACAAATCTCCTGATACTCCTCCCTCAGAACAGGATGTTTGAAATTCAGGGACGGATTTCATCTCATTCTCAAAAGGGACCAGTGACATGGTTATAATTATATCCAAGAATATAATAAACTATTCACTAGCCAAAAACATATATTCTAGGGAGCCATATTAAAAAAAAAGGAAAAGACTAACAAATCACAAACTAAACCCACTATCAGCATCATAAAGAGACTTTTGCTTCTAAAAGGTAATTTTTATATCATGGCATTCAGACAGCATTTACTTCCTTCTACTGGATATCAACAAGTAAACTGGGATTCACTAAGGGTTTGTAGCTTTGTTGCTCATTTTTTGGCTGATTTTAACTTTTCATTGGTTATGTTTCCTAACAGTATCTTGTTAAATAATCATCGATTTGAGTTTTTACTCTAAGAAAGTCTAAAAACCAAGGCTGATGATTAACAAAATTAAAAAAGAGGAATTCAAAACTTCTCCTTCTAAACATCCCAGCCACACAAACCTAGTTTCCCCAGAAACCATGGAACTGTATCAGTGGGTTATAGGTCTCTGATGAAATGCACGACCTGTGGCTTAGACTAAGATTTAGTCCGATAACTTGACTTAAGCATGTTTGGATAATGAAATAAACTCACTATGAGTACCTCAAAGCTCTTTCGTAAAGCATCAACACCAAGATAGAAAAGCATCTGCCACGTCTGCTCTTCTGCTCGTAGTTTCTGCCAGATTCGATGCAGTCGTTCATAAAGATGAATTCCCAGGCAGGTCAGAACTTCTTCCTGAGCTATGTCTATTGTCTTAGCATGCCTTTCTCTTCGCCTATAAAGGAGATCACATATAATTCCTGATACCCTTAACCAAAATAGTAAAATATAGCTATCACATCTGCAAACCCAGGTTTTTAAAACAACCCGCATACCTAGAAACAACCTAATCACAAGACAGTTACGTATTTATACTGTTAGTATATACGTAAATACACAGGCAGACATAGTGAGAAATACACATGCATGTAGAATTCATTCCACTGCTAAAAATAGGGTAATTCAGGAACTGGCACTTAAAAGACAGTTTTTGAACACAGAGATACCTTAAGCGTCTAGCTTATGAGTAGTGTTAAGTGTGTAGCTCAGAGTAGCCATGACAGTTTCTTTCCCCTTCCTATTATAGCAAAACACCTATATTTTGAGTTTGTTTTTGGAAGGGGAAGGAGAAAGACAGTATCAAAGTGATTCAATCATGAGCAAAAGTCCTGTAGGCCAGTCATTAGTAGAAATATTCACAGAATTTTAGTCATTAAAGGTTTTTATATGCTAAATGCCTAGCAGAAAGTAGTCACTCAAATTAGGATATATAAAATATAAAAGGAAAATGGGTTCCATTTATTCTGCCTTTTATGATTTTATATTCAAAACAAGGCCAGAGATACTTTTTAGATTTTCATATAGTTTATTAATAATAATATACACAGTTCATGAATTATATTCAATAAAGCATTTCTTAAGCCCCTGCTGCAGAGTTCCCTTCCTAAGCAAAAACCATCATAGTGAATAAAATTTAAACATGGTAATGCACGAACCAAGGGGCAAAACAATCCCTTTCAGCTCATCATTTTCAAATAAAAATGATAATTTATAATAATGAAAGCCACAAAAAGCCTATCTCCCTTCAAGCAACAAGGAGCAGAGGACTGAACCAACACCACAAGGTACTTTCTCTGTTTTATATTCACTTAATTAAGACATGCACATTTTAAAGAAAGCACTATCTTTATAGGCATACTTTATACATATGTATTGAGGCAAAAGGTGATGGAAATAAACTTTCAGTAATAAAATGAAGCAAAGCGCTAGATAGCCCATTCTAGCAAATTACATACTCATACCCTCCTGCGAACTCTGGCTCAGCACGACCCAAAAGATGTGCAATAAAGTCTGTTTCACAGCAAACATGTATGTGCCGTTCATGTGGGCAGCACCGCAGGCCTTCGTAAAGTGCAGCACAGTAGCCCTTCTCTTTGCTGCAATCAAGTTCACCAATAAGGATATTGTATGCTCGGAGGACTTTATTTTTGCAATCAGTGCAAAACCTGTTGAAAAGAAAAGCCTCAAAATTAGAATTGGCTGGGTAGTTATTTCATGTGATACACATTAGTGTACTAGAAAACTGCACTCCCCGCCAATCTAAAGTTCTTTAAAAAAAAAAAAAAAAAAAAAAACTCATCACACATTAAAAACATACACATGAAAGGTAAAGACAAATTTAGAGATTACATGGGTATAGCTAGATTTCCATTTTCAAATTACTTTTTAAACTAGAGACGCACAAGGTCTGAAATAATGAGGCAGAAGTATACCTGTCATTTCACAAAATTCATGCCCAGAAAACATTAGCTGCCAAGGACTAGTGTATCTACGCTTCAAGGGCTATTTGTACAGGTCAGAAGTGGAACAACAGAGACCACATACCAGTGACTCTTACTAAAAGAGTTTAGTTTTCTTCAGTTAGGAAACCCTTATTCAAATTTTTACAGTTATGCATTTTTTTTTGGGGGGGGGGAAGTGGGGTATGGGAAAGTGGTATATGTGTTTTTATTTTATGGTAATTTCCAAAATGTCAAATTCTTTTTTTCCAAAAAACGCATCTCTCAATACACAGACATGATACATATATATGCTTAGAAGTGTGGTTTATACTTTAGTGTATACAATACGGCAGCAGTGTAGAAGAGTATATAAATGAAGAAAAGGAAGAAATTTTCTTTTAGAAACCAAAGATTACTCACTCAGAAGAAAAAAACAATAGGGTCAAATTTCTTTATCTTTAATTTCTGAAAAAAGGAAGAACTTGGTTGGATGAAAAAGCCAGGCTCATAGTATTAATGAATGACTAGCTCTCTCAGAAATGGGCTGTAGTAGAACATTTTTATCTGTTTGACCTCAATTTATCTTCCTGGGGCTGGAAGCAAAGGAGTCATCTACTCCCATGGCTCTAGCCAACACATCTATAAAGATGACTTTAAAGCCACAGCCTTATTCAAGCCTCTGTTCTCACCTGAGGCCAGACCCATACTGACAAATGATAGAACATCACAGATAACTCAATAGATATTCAATCTCTGTTAAGCACATCACCATTCACAGTCACTAAAGCTGAAAACCTCAGACAATTCCATCTTCTCCTTTGGTCCTCCTTTTTTTGAGGGGAGGAGGGGATGCCAACTAGTATCAACTTTATTTTTCTTACATCTCTTATAGGGACCCTTCTTTTTAATTCCCTATGCTCTGGTCTATTATCTGGACTATTTAAAAAAAAAGTTTAACTGGCTTCCCTGCTTCTACTCTTCCTAACACTAATGCATCTCTCACACCAAAATAATTTTTCTAAAACAAAGCTATCTCACTATTAGCTTAAAACCCTTCCCATTGTCTATCAAGTTCAAACTCCTTACACCAAGGCATTTAATGACTTCTTACTATTTCCCAAATCTCACTATTCCTCTCATGCTTTTCTCCACTTCACTCTGCTCCCCCACACACACCATGTACACGATGGAGTACTCTGAATATAGCTGATGTGTCTCTACTTCAACGTCTTTTTCCTCTGCTTTTTTCCCCACTCCTCTTCATATCTTTCTCCTTAACACCTTTAGCCTTCCTACAACTGCCATACCTAGAATTCAATCTTCTCTGTGCTCTTACAGGAGCTCTGGTAGTATAATGGTTAAGACATTTGGCTGCTAACCAAAAGGTCAGTGGTTTGAACCCACCAGCTGCTCCACAGAAGAACAATGAGGCAGTCTGCTTGCATAAAGGTTTACAACCTAGGAAATCCAATGGGTATTGCTATAAGTTGGAATCAACTCGATGGCAGTTAGTGTGGTTTTGAGTTCTGTATTCTTATTATTCCTGATTGTACTTCCTATTATACTATTTACTCTTATATTGCCATGAGTTAGTTTGATATGCATCTGTCTTTCTGGCCCAATAGTGAAAAAATCAAACAAACTCACCACGATAGAGTCATTTCTGACTCATAACAACCCCCATTGGGTTTCAGAGGCTATAAATCTTTATGAAAGTAGATCACCCAGTCTGCCTTGCATGAAGTAGCTGATGGGTTTGAAGCATTGACCTTCTGGTTAGCAGTCAAGTGCCTTATCCACTAAAACACCAGAGTTCCTTGGCCCAATAACAGGTAAACTATATTTCTTGAAATAAATGTATGCTAAAACAGAGGTTTTCCCTGGCTTAGTTGGTGAATAGGCAATAATGGTGACAAGTAACTATAAATAATTATCTTCACCAATGCCTTAAAAATGAACACAGATATAACTAAAAATACTTGCAAATTTTCTGGCTAAGTAAATGTTCAAATACGTTATTTGAACCAGTAATAACATTTGAATTATCTTTCCCGTATTTCACTATGTTAAATACTGAATGTTGTTGTTGTTATGTGCAGTCGAGTCGGACCTGACTCATAGTGACCCCTCCTTGGGTTTCCGAGGCAGTATCACTACGGAAGTAGATTGCCCCATCTTCCTTCTGAGGAGTGGCTGTTGGGTTTGAACCACCAGCCTTCTGGTTAGCAGTCAAGTGTCTTAGGCATTAATATTGAATAGTTTAATATAAATTTGACTGTACAACTATAGACATGTAAGTAAACAGTAATTTAAAAATTCTATATGGAAGGCATTAAAGTGATCTTTTCCCCATTACAAAAGTCACCTTGCACAAAAAAAAATTTTTTTAAAGGCAGCAGTTTCACAGTTTCTTAACATTTCATTTCTAATGTACTATTTCTCCCAGATGTCTTGGAGTCCATGGACTCCTTTAGGATTGACATTTAGGAACCACTCCTTAACTAAGGGGCAATTCAGCAATAATAATAAAAGCACCAAACATAATGGGTGCTTACCATGTGCCAGTTACTGTTCCAAATAAGCCTTACTATGTATCAATCCCCATGATAAATTTAAATATAAAACACTGCTTCAAAAACACAGAAATCTAGTAACTGAAATATCAGCTCTGACAACTAGTAATTTATCACCAAAAAAGCTATCATTTTACATTAACAAAACTAAAACCAAACTCACTGCCATCTAGTTGATTTCAACTCATAGAGATCCCTCCTTGGGTTTCCAAGGCAGTATCACTACGGAAGTAGATTGTCCAATCTTCCTTCTGAGGAGTGGCTGGAGGGTTTGAACTGCCAGCCTTCTGGTTAGCAGTCAAATGCCTTAGGCACTATGCCACCAGAGCACCTCATTTTATATTAGAGACTAGAATATTAGGACCAATTCATATTAAAGGAAGAAGGAATCTATGTATTTATATATGTTTCATGCCTATATGTTGTTGTTGTTATGTGCCGTCGAGTTGGACCCAACTCATAGTGAGCCGTCCTTGGATTTCCGAGGCAGTATCACTATGGAAGTAGATTGCCTATATAGTCTCCTCTAAACTCCAAATAACTAATACATTCTCTACTCTCTTGGGTATAACCAGCCACAAAGGTAAATAAGCAAAAAAGTATGTAACTGAAAAAAGAAACACATCTAATAAACTTAAGTACACAAATTAAATCATTAGTTCACTGCTATTTAAAATAAACACAAATCTTGGTAACACCATTTTTATCATTCACCTAATAAATGTTTTGTAGGTGAATGGTAAGTAGTGTATTACCTTTCCTGAGGTTAAAGAACATACAACCACAAACCCAGCACATGACAAAATTTATATTAAAAAAGAACTCCCCTCAAGAATGCCATCTCTAGGTAGCTCCCTTACAGTTTCCTTTCCTACCACATTCTCCTTCCCTACAAATTTCCAAATGTTAGTGACAAAGTGAGAAAATCCCTTTGTAAAAGTAGTACTCTAAAAAGAAAAATCTGAAATTACTTGTATGTACATGAGGCACAAAAATTCCAACTGTATTTTTAGGTTTTGACAAACAATTACAGAAGAAATACCTGAAACTATTATTATATGAGAAGCTGCTAATTTAACTTTAATTTTGAAAATGATTTGACCGTAAGAATAAGGATAACCAGAGTTTCCATCCAAAGTAATTAACTTTATCAGTCATTCTGTATTTCCTGAAAAGGCTAGTCTAGACCAATATATAAAAATTACAGAAAGGGAAATGCTGGCTCAACCCAAGGGTTAACACTGAAAGCTTATAAAGGAACTGCTTACCCTGACATTAATCTGCCAGTGGCAGGTACTGATGGAAAACTAGAGTATTACTATACAAAGGAGGTCAGTGTGACAGGTCACTCTGGATGACTGACAGCTAAGGTACCTTTTCACACTACACCGCAATGACGTTTAGACTCACCTGTGTTTTCGCAGATAGGTTTCTAGTGTTTCTAAAAGACAACTAGAGTCGATTAAAACTACTTCATCCCTGCATTCCTGGGACATTAGTTCCCATACATCCATCCAACAACCTCTGCAGAAAGAAACAAATATCAATGAAAAGAAAGAATGTAGAAGGGAAAAACATTCAAAAAAAAAAAAAAAGTAAAGGATTGCTTGATTTTACCTGGCCGTTCCCTGGAAAGGTCCATAATGGAAAATGATCCTATACTTGCTGTCCTTCCTGTGGTCTTCACTACTTCTCTTATCTGTACTTAACTTCTCTGAACTGACACTGCTACTGCTCCCTTCACTGTAGTACAGTATAGTACAAGTCTTAGTGAGACTGAGATAATCTGAAGGAATTATTTCTATACTCTTAATTAAAATCATGAACTCTTTAATACATTAAGATATTAGAGTAAATTTGAAAATTTGTATATAATTATATAACCACTTTAATCATATTAAAATGTTATTTAAATGTGTGCTCACATCTCTACAGAAACTTCTCCTTGACTATCAAGTTTAACCAATACAATGTAGTAACATTTACATTCACGTAGATAGCAACTGGTTAATACACTAAGTATTTTATGAGCAAATCTACTTGGAATGTTTTAAAGTCAAAAGGGCTTATTGTATTTTCACCTATAAACATGTATCAAGCTTCCAGAAATTGAAAATTCTAACAATTTTTATCTACTTAATGGACTTTTTAAAAACCAGTCCTTTTCACAGCTAGCCCTTGGCAATAAAAGTCACATCTACAAATAGCTGGGGAAGTCATGAGTTAATCTTATTAAGTAAATATATTTTTACATTTACTAAAATAAAGAGAGCATAATAAGATGAACACTTTACACAGCTTAAATGAATAATAAATACTATATAAGTATTTTTTAAAAACTTCGCAGAATCTCTCTTCCCACAGGTTTCAATGAGGCACTGGTTGTACATTTTGTTTTGTTGCAGCTGTACATACTAAGAGTAATGCTTATATTCCATTCAAAGACCGTCTGCTTGATTTTTCATGATTCTCAACAACTGGCTCCTGTCTGTTCTTTTCCAGGTCTCACTACGATTTTAGAAATTGATTACCTTGTATGCTTGAGATGGAAAAACCTCTCAATCTTTAATCTACTCTATGTAACTAAAAAGGTATTTCTCAATCCTCCTGTCCATTATATAAGGTCATACACAGAGTCCAGTTCCCTGCTTCACCTCACAAAGGCTCAGGCTACAACTGCGATCCCATCACTTATGGTAAGAAAAACTTCAACTCCTGCTCTGCCTTCCACATTAACACCCTTCTACTCTCAACTCCTGTATTTCCTCTCTTTCTAATCATGCTTCAGCAATCCATAATTTCCTAGAACTGAGAACTCAAGTTCTCATAATTGAGGAAAAGGTTCATGAAGAGAATGAATGAGTTGGGAAGTGATTATTACATCATCAGCTGGGAAGTGATTATTACATCATCAGAATATAAAAGCATTATAAGAGCTTGAGAAAATTCTACAGTTCAAATGAGGTTTTATCTATAATCTCTCTAAACCTTATTATGTCTTCATATTATTCCCTTCTGTGAAGGTCAAGGATATGGAAAAAGTGGTCTTTCTACTTCCTTTTTCTAATCCCACACTTTCCAGTAACAGCTAAGCCCCTATAATCTTACGTTGCACTCACCCTTCCACCTATTCCAATCTGGATTCTGCTTCCATTCAGCCACCAGAACCGGTCCTCAAGATCACCAATTACGTCAGTGTTGCTAAATCCAAGGAACACTTTAGGTCCTTAATGATTCAGTACAGCATCCAAAACAGCTAACCGGTCCTCCTTGAAACACTCTTCCCTTGATTTCTGCTTACCTCTCTGGCTACTCTCAAGTCTCCTTGCTGGCTGCTTCTTTTCCACCATTAAACTGAATTCCTCAGCAATCTTTTCTCTTACTCTACTCTATCCCCCTAGATAATTTTAAAAAGCATTCTCTAACCAGAAGAACTAGATGGTGCCCACCTACCACTGCCAACCACTTAGAGGGGTATCTATGTAGGAGATCCTGGATGGAGTGGGGGACCAGTGTGGACCAGGTTTGCAGGTCTGATAGAGCCTGGTGGAACCCCTGAGACTATGCTCCTACCTGCCCTTCAGTCCTGCAATTGAACTTACTCTTGTGGCTTCCAGCCAAACAAAAGACAGCATGTGAGCTGAACATTTACATTAGGCAGATACACTCCCTGGAGAGATCAATCATGGGAGAACAGAAAGGCTGTGTATGCACAGGGAGACACCTCAGGGGACAGGAGTGCATTGGAGGGAAGGACACAGGAAGAGGTTAACTATGGGGAGAAAGTGGGAGGGGAGCTGTTGCACTATGGGAAATCACAGTCAGTGTCATGAGACAAAGCATATGTGAGCTGCTGTATGGAAAGCAAATTTGCTCTGTAAGCTTTCACCCAAATCACAATACAAATTGGGAGGGGGGAGCATTCTCTAAGATCAATCATCAGCTACAAGGCCTACAACTCCAGTGTAGACCTTTCTTTTGAAGTTTCTTTTGAAACTTACTTCCAAACAGACAATAACTTGGCTTTACACTCACAGATAGGAAAATACTCTCAGGAGTGCTGACCTGGATTGCTGTTGTTATTATTAGTCTGAAACCTAATCAAATGCATTATACTTTCCTTGGAGAAAGTCCAAACCAAAAAAAAGGGGGGAGGGTTTGAGTCAATGGTGGAAATATATAATATCCAAAAGTGGAAAAGTATCTTGGCTGATAACCACACAGATATGGAAGTAACTGAAACTACCTTAGGAGACACTTATTAAGTGAATTAACTCCATTCATACGGATTCCATACTCAGCAAACAACTTTTTAAACATTTGGTTTCCCATCTAGTGGGGCTATAGCTGGAGGGGAATGTGAAGTCAATGGAGGTTTGTTTTTTTAAGCTGAAAGATAGGAAAGTGTAAGCATATGCCAATTTAATAAAAGTAGGTATCTGACAAAGTCACTCAGTAGAAAGGAGATAGAATTCAGAGCAAAAGTAAAAGGACAGTCTTAGAAGGTAGGCAGCAATGAACACAGACATGTGAGGTGAGGTATTGGGGCATCTGCTGCTTTCTAGTTCCTCGATGAATCGATGCATAACAAAAACTGTCAAAATAAACAGAAAGCAGGCTTTCTAGCACTAAGTACTATACCATACTACTCTGTGGTTTCAGCCAATAGGTCATTTATCTAATGAGAAAATCAGACTGAATTATGAATTCTTTAGAGTCAGGAATCCTACTAAAGATATTGGCTAATCAGGTACATGAAGTAATAATTACAGTTAAATAACCACTTTAGGTTGTGCAGCCCTCTACTGGGTTCAAAGTACTCTCACAATTACGTATCATGTAAACTGTGGTTCTTGTTTGGATCCTGATTCAAAAGAACTGACTATAAAAAGACATTTTTAGAGATAATTGAAAACATTTGACTATGAACCATATTGTTGTTATTTGCCATAGAGTCAGCCCTGACTCCTAGCGACCCCTCCTTGGGTTTCCGAGGCAGTATCACTACGGAAGTAGGATTGCCCATCCTTCCTTCTGAGGAGTGGCTGGTGGGTTTGAACCACCTGGTTAGCAGTCAAGTGCCTTAGGCACTATGCTACCAGAGCTCCCATATGAACCATATTAGATTACTTTAATTAATTCTGTTAGCTGTTACAACAGCACTGTGGTTATGAAAGAAAATGTCCATATATTTAGAGATGCATGTGGAAGTATGTAGGAATAAAATAACATGATGTCTGGGACTTGCTTTACAATATTTCAACAAAGAAATAGGTAGATAAATGAAACAAATGTGGCAAACTCTTGGTAACTATTCAATCTGGAAACTCCTACTTTTTTTTTATGGGTTGGCAATTTTCATAATTTTTTTTTTAAGTTTTCTTCCTGAGTATAGGGGAAAAAAAAAAGAACAAGTTGTGAATAACTTAACATACTACTTACCACCTGGTCATCAGATCTTTTATTTTTTTAATCAAAGAGGAAAATGTCTATTTAACAATAGTGTCAATGGCACAAATATTAAAAAATTAACTTAAAAATTATTCAAAAATTTAGTTTTAACAGCATTCTGTTCTCTCAAAAACAAAAGTTATTTCTTAGAAACTCCCTTTACGTTCCATGACTTCTCTTTACCACTCCTGCCCCCAAAGAATTTGGCAGAGGACAACTGTGGTGATATGCTGCGGGGGGTAGGAGCAAAAGCAGCCCTGCACATTGTCGTACCTAACTAAGATGATAACTGCCAATTAGTTAAATAAATACATATTGCCATAACTAATTCAAGACTTAAAAAAAAAAAAAAAGCCTTGATAAATTATTGAGACCTAGGAGAAAAACACAAGAAAATAACTTACACATGACTATTAAATAGATCAAAGAATGATTACTTTGAAAATCTTAATATTGGCTATAAAAATTTCCACATAGCTCTCATCTTACTTCCTCTGAAACAGAAAGTAAGAAAAAGAAAATTTTCTTGAAAAAGAAAAATCTCTATAGTGTAAATGTAAAAAGTCCCACAGAACAAACAGACATATTTTGAACCATGTTAGAGTTAACCAACTAACAACAATAAAACTATCAGTGTGCCTTTTCTTTTAATTAAATACAATCAACATTTATAACAGTGACAAAGCATCTTGGTATTCTCAATTCTACTTACCCCAAAGGTTTTGGTTTGTGTGTATCTAAGGAGTGCAACTGACATCTCTTGTTCTTCTTACTTTTTGGAATAGCATCTATCATGTCATTTAGTTTGGACCTAATTAAAAATAAACCATTAAAGATTTGATTAATACTTACATCTCTTTAGAATTTTAAAAATCTCTACTTTCTGCCTTTTAGTGAAGAGTGTATTTAAAGTATTATAAATAAATCACCCACCTTGAAAATTTAACATACAAATTCTAATCCAAGACTTTTTATACTTGTCTTCTCACTCTACCCCCAGACTGTCAAAATTTCAAAACGTCAAAACAGACCTGCTCTATTCAATGTACTCTTTTCTCCAGATTGTACCTGTCTTGCTCATATCCCCACTGTGTCTGGAGCAGGGTGCTGAGCACTCAAATATTTTAAGACTGACTGCTTTCTGACCTGATGCCATCTTCTCTTGCCCAAACATTATTTAAACACACCCAATATCTTTGATGAGGAGTCACAAAGAGAAATTTTATGCAAAGATAGAATATGTACCACTAGTGCCCATACTATACATCCAACCAATCAGCAAAGCCTGTGGCTCTAACTTTTAAATATATCGTGAATCCAATTACTTCTCACCATCTCCACCAATACAACCCTTGTCCAATCTCCCATTATCTCTAGCTTAATCGATAGCAATAGCTTGCCTCCTAAATGGTCTGGCTTCTTACTTTCACTCTTTGTCCTTTATAGTCTATGCTCTGCTCAGCCAGAGTGATCCTTACAAAACATAAGTCAGATTATGGTACTCTTCTGTTAAAAAACTTTTCAAAACTTCTTTTCTCAGGCAGAGTAGTATCCAAAGTCCTTACCACCACCCCTAAATAGGAAAACCCACTGTTAAGTCTTTGGAGCTCTTTGGAATCATTTTTTGGTGATTTAATCTAGTCTCATGGCTTTAAATACCATAAATAGACTGATGACACAAATTTACATATCCAGGCCAGGCCTCTCTGAACTCTGCTTGAATGTCAAAAAGTGAGCTCCTGATCTTTCCCTCAAAACTGCAATCTTACCCATCTCAATAAATTAAAACCATTTGTCCTGTTCTTTAGGCCACAAATCTATAAATCATTCTTGATGTCTTCCTCTTCATCCAACCTATCAGCAAATTCTACTGGCTTATTCCTCAAAACAGATCCAGAATCTGACCGTTTCACACCTCCACTGCCACTACCCCAGTCTAAGACACCAACGATCTCTTTCCTGGATTATTAAATAGCCTTTCTGTTTTCTCTTGTCCTTCTGTGCTTACTCACTTCAGTATTCTCAACACAGTAGTCAAATAAGCCTGATAAAACTTCAAGTGTGTGCTAGCAGACCTAAAGAAAGTAGAGGCATTTGGGTCAAAATTACAGTAACAGGTTAACTTGCTCTTTCTCTGAGGGAACAAGGGAGGGGGCAAAACTGTGACTGTCCTCAGAAAGGATGCTTTTGCACAAGCTGGCCCGTGCCCTTACAAGTTAAGTGGAATCATTTTTGCAAAATGCTTGCACAGGTTGGCTACAGGATAGCTATAGACTAACTCATGTTATCACTTATGGTTACTAATATATAACTAAAACAGTTACTATTTCCCTCAACTTCTTTTATAAAAAGCCCTTCTCATTTTCTATACTTCGGAGCACTTCGTAATCCACTATGTGCTGCATGACTAGAGTTGTTATTATTCTTTAATAAAACCCTTTTCTTTCACTTCTAATAGAGTGTGGAGATTTTGTTTTTTTGACATATTTGGCATCAGTAGTAGGATTTTGAAGGTGTATTACCTATAATGACCCTGAGATAGCGAGGACTTGGGCTTTTGTACTAGCTGAGCCATTTGAGCTCTCCATCTTCACAGAATTTCAGTAGTCATTTCAAGGTAAATAGCCTCTTGAATCCAAACACTGCTCAGAGAGCTTTGTAACTCTTCAAGTTTTATTGATGGATTTGTTTTTGTTCTTGTAAGTAAGCTTTACTATCTTGTTAAACCTTACTAAACACAGTTTGGAAAAATCAGTGGCCACTTTGGGGTTCTTTTGGTCTTCTGCAGAGTAAGTCAGAGAACCAAGATTGCCAGATTAAAAATCTCATTGGGATGCCTATTGTGATCACCTGGATTTGGATTTCTGTTTGAGCTCTCTAGTGATAGTTCAGAAGATCAGTGGCTACTTCTAAGTAATTTCCAATTAGAGTAACTTGTTTTTTAAAATAAGAGACTAGGTCTCTAGCCAGAAAAACGAATTAAGTTCAGAAAGAATGAGACCAGAGTTTCAACCCATTCTTAACATCCTTGATAAACGAGCCTGGATTCCCCCAAAACCCCCACACACCAGGATGCTGATTTGGGGTTCATGGTCAAAAACATTATAAACTGAATACATTTGAAGTAATTTGGAATTTCAGTGATCATTTTAATGAGTTTCCATCTGCTCTTTCCCCTTCCATTTTAGGAAAATGAGTTCCCATTTGCATCAACTTTTCTTTCCACTGAGGAACTTTCAATACTCAGGTTTCATAAGAAAAGCTAATCTCCTTCCACCTGAGACTCTGGCAAGTTAATAAGTCTAGCTAAGCAATGTCTTTTCTGTTTCAACTGAGTCAATTTCATCCAAGAATTGTTACATACACTTTAAGGTACGGTGGTCCCGTGACTGTCTTGTGTGGTATACACAGTCCCTGGGTTATGAACAATTCGTCGCCCTTTAATGTTACACAAATTTGCCCTCACTTTTAAACACTTGAACCAACTGCTACTCACAATAAATTATCACAAACACCTCTCACTACACATGCAGCTTTTAAACCACTGACAAAGCTTCAAGCCTTTCTATGCAATAAAGACAGACTAAATAAAAATGCACCTAGCTTGACCTACTTATAATTTCATAAAGACAGAGTTAGGAACACATCTCATCCTGGGGACTGCCTGTATTTTGCATAAGCCTGGTTTTGAGCTGGCCTCACAGACCAATGAGTTTTTATGGTTTTTCTGTTCTTAGAGCTTTCCTCTCGTCTAGAGAGGCTAAGTTCCGGTCTTCTGTCAAGTTGAAGGTCAAGGCTGATGTTTTCCATGGGGCTGCCTAAAATCTTAGTTCTTTCCCATTCTAATAAAAACTGCTGCTTGTGTCTGGACCCTTTTTTTTTTTTTTTTTGGTGATATAGGTGAAAGTTTACAGAGTAAATTCATTTTCCATATACCAGTTCATATACATTTTGTTTCACGATATTGACTGTAATTCCCATAATGCAACAGCTCTCTTTCTGCATCCTCCCTTTGGTTACCTTTTCCCTGTGTCCTTCTTTCCTATGCATTCCTGCCCTCTGAGCTATCTCCCCGTGCAAATACTGCTCTTCTGATCTCTCAAGGTTCACTGTTCTAAGGAGTGTACCTACTTGGTTTAAATGTTCACTTTATACACCTGTTAGATGGCTGGTAGCCATGGGAATTCCATGCCCCAAAAATGACTAAGGGGTCATAGTCTCGGGTGTTTCACCAGTTTCTATCAGACCAGTAAGCCTGGTCATTTTTATGATTTTGAGTTTTGTTGCACATTTTTCTCCCACTCTCTCCAGGATCTCTTACACTGATCCCTTTCTGAGTGGCTGACAGTGGTAACCAGGTACCATCTAGTTCTGGTCTCACGGTCATGTGGGCTGAGGTGTGCATGGTCCACTAGTCCCTTGGACTAATTGTTTCCATGTATCTTTGGTTTTCTTCATTTTTCTTTGCTCCGGAGGAGGAGAAATCAACTGTTCCATCTTAGATGGCTGCCTGAAAGCTTTTAAGACTCAAATAGCTACTCAGCAAAGTAGGATGTAGAACAATGTTTTTGTATAGTATGTTATGCCAACTGAGCTTGATGTCCCTTGAGACCCACAGGCCCAACAACTTACTCCCTCAGAGTGGTTACCTATGGCTAATAAGTTATTGTAACTTTGTCCCTGTTAGCTGTATCGTATGTATATATACCTAGACTTTTAATAGCTACTGTGAGAAATTTTGATATAAATTAGTCTATTTGAAAAGTACATTTAAAACAGACAAGACTGTTTATATCAACTGGTATAACAAGGCCTCAAAAAGGCACAGGTTATTCTAAATTGCTTCTCTAAAGGATCCTATAAAGTATGCAAAAGACAGACTTGTGTTGAGTAGCCTTGAACAGATCTTTGATAATTGTTCTTGCCAAAATAATCAAGTAGCAACATAGCTGCAGCTGCAATAGTAAGAAAATACATAAGAAACCTACAATGGGAGGGACTGTCACAGTATTAGCAAGCAACTGGGCTAGATCCATGCTGCCTGCACTTGAAATGACAAAGAAATGACTGAGGGTTCTGCCAACTTTGCCCAGATCTTTTGATTTTCAGAAATAACACAGAGTGGGGAAATTAAGGGAAGCAACCTTGCAGACAAGGCAGTTAACCAAGCTGCTTCTCAAATTACTCTTGACCTTGTTGTTGTTGTTGTTGTTAAGTGCCGTCGAGTCGTTTCCGACTCATAGTGACCCCATGCACAGCAGAACGAAACACTGCCCGATC